TTATTTTCTCAAGGTTATACGGAGTAATACTTTTTTTTCTAAAAAAAATAAAAATACAGGGTGATACTTATTTTCACTTTCAAAATTTAATAGATTAATATTATCTCTATAAATTTATACGATACTTCTATTTCTTTATTTTTTTTGAATGGAATAGAGAGGGGCGATTTCATTAAATAATAATAGTTATTCGGCACTTACAATCATCTCTTAAGAGATCTAAATTTTCAATACAAGTATTAAACACCCCTAAACTAATGATGTTTGGGGTAAAAAATATCCCAGACACGTGGCCCAATGGCCAAGTGACACGTGGCACCCAGCCATTGGTCAGCAGGGCTCCAATCCCCAGCTGACACGTGTCCAATGAACCCTAAATGGGGAACCAAGGCTCTCCTCTATAAATAGTGGAAGGACCCTCATTAATGGGACATTCATAAATACACACACCAATCTTGAGCAGTAATAATTGCAGAATTCTTCCATTACGCGAGAAGTAATTTCACTATTTACGCCCACTTTTCCTCCTGTACGTTACTGACTTGATCGTCGGAGGCGGAGCTCCAACCAACCGGAGACTTCGTGGTTTTGCAAGTACAAGCGGTGAAGGGCATTCTCGGAATTGTAACTCTCCCACAGGACACATCAAAAAACCCCGAAACAAATGACATCGCTTCTGAACAGCTCCTGAATAATTTTAGGTGTCTTTACATCGTTTTTATGGAGCTCCATTGATGTATAGTAGCAAAAGTGATAAAACTTGATTGGTGATCAGGATCGACAAATTTGCAAAACGAATCTTCTAAATCTACACCCCTATACCAACAGACCCGCAATTTCACAAATTTGCAAGACAAATCTTTCAAATTTATATCCCTGCACACACGAAAAACAAATAAATAAACAATATTAAATATCCCACCACTAGGGAAACGATTAAACCCTACATGGAGGGACTGACTATAATCACCATACTGTTGGTGATCTTTATTGGCTAAAAACAATAAACTGAAGAAGAATTTGAGGCTTACCATCAATAAAAATCGATGGCAGCCTCTAAGTATTACTTTGGTGGCTAGGTTTGAAGAGAGAGAATAGAGATTTATTTATTTAATTTTTTTTTAGTCCCTCCTATTTGAGATAAGCTGCTGCCTGATTGATGGAAAGTGGAAACCTCTAAGCAATATTTTTAATTCTATTAGAAGAAAAAATAAAACGGCAAGAAGTGCAGCCGGTGCAAATTAAAGCAGTGGCAACTTAAGGGCCCCACTATGACTCCTTCATCATTATTCATCTTTGGCGGGTAAATTTTGGCGGGTAAGCTAAATGACGAGTTTGTTGCACCTGGCCCCACATTTGGCGGATTTCCAACACACATTTTTTTTTTCAAATATTAAAAAAATCTTAATTAATGTTCTTAAAAAAAAAAAAAAAAAACTTAATCAATGCATTACTTCGTACTGTTCATTTTTTTAAAATTACGGTTCGTTTTTACTTGTCCTTTTCTTTAATTACGATGTAAAACTTTAACGATCAATAAATTTAATTCTTCATAAGCAAAAATTATAGAAGTTATATATTATGATACTCGTAGTACTTATTGAGACGAATTCACAAAAGACGGTCAAAGAAGAGGTGATAAATAGTGTAAAAGTCAAATCGAGTCAATTAAAAAAAAACAAAAGACTCAAAAGGCGGTCAAAAAAGCGGTGGTGAACAACATAATAGTATTACATTTATGTGATCAGACTCTACTCATATACGACAACATGAATATGCATAGTCCATAAAGATTCAATACGATAATTTTCATTTAAAAACGTCTCAATAATTGAAAAGTTATGAGTACAATGCTCCAACCCTCCTCTTAATCCATGATTATTATTATTATTATATTAATTGGATATTACTAACTAGTGTCCCGGAGTGTTAGATAAGTAATTTAGTACTTTCCATGTTTCAATAATATTACAACAATGAGACTTTTGCACTATTCAACACTTTTATTTGATCATATAATATGATTTATACTTTAAGTAAAATATAGTCATGCCATCATGTGGGATATTATTAGATTCGTCTCATAAAATATTTTTACAATGTCAACCTTTTATAATTTTTACTCTTATACATTTATAGATTTCTAACATGTAAAATGTGCTTTGTGATGTGTAATTTCATTTTTGTTGCAATATTATTACAACGGAGGAAGGATTAAGTTTTATGAATGCATGACAAAATCACGCGTCGAACGGTGTAATTAATGTTAATTTTAATTTAATATTTTTACTTTTAATTCTCTTATATCTAATGCCCTTAAAATGCTCGTTAGCTTTTGCCTTATTATTATTTTTCAACCGAACATATATAATTGGAAAGTAAATGCTTCCGATCACATCCCAAAATTAGGCAATCCAACGAAAGTGGTTTAATCACATTCCATGACTATTATGCTTATTAACCACTTAAGGTAGGCATGTAGAGAAACGTAAATAATAAAAAGCAAGTTGGTTCCACAATATTGCATTGATTCGTTAATTTAATGAAATTTTAATTTTGGTGGAATGATGATTTGTGCTAACAAAGAATAATCCAGTAGGTATATATATTAAACAGGTAGATAACCTTCAATTAGGCTGGAACAGCTACCAATTATGTACCTTGCTTTCAATTACACCAATTCCATCCTACTTAATTATTTAATTAATTAAGTATTTATGCACCCAATAACAAGACAACAACTTATTAACATTTTTCTCCTTTTTTTGTTTGACGTGCATTTCTTTTTATAAATTAAGATTATGGTGGACAATTTTTCAACAAGATATGCGCATTTTCATTTCATTATTTATATCGTAAGATCAAGGTGCTTCATGTTGTGCATATCTTTATTTTCACGCGGTAAAGTTTATTAGGGGCCTTGCATGGGAAGTCCATTGCTTGTACTTTCTTTGTTATTGAGAAGCTCACAATTGATGACTTGACGTTTGAAAACAAAAAGTCTATTACTTACACGGTGTGTTACCGTAAAATCGGTTTATTGGTAAAGATTTATGTGAGATCGAAACATATCAATTTTGGAATACAATTAGATGAATTAAAAAAATCATTCCAAAGGCTATAAAAATTACTTGTATTTTTCAAAAAGGCTACTTACATACTCTAATGATATGTGTGAGAATTAGTGAATTACAAATATATCCCAATGCAAGATTTATACGGAGTATTAATGATAGAAAGTTGATACTTAAAATTATACATACAATGAGACAATTTTAAAAAATACTTAGGAAAAAATCCGGATCGGGTTAGACCTGTGAGAGGTTCCAGTCCAATAGGATCCTTCTCCTTACCATTAAAAAAAAAAAAGATACTCCGTACTTAGGAAAAAACATTGGTCAAAGTGTTGGATATGAATAATGAAACAGTTAAATTGGGGTATTTTTATTTTAAAATGGAGAGAGTGTGTGTTTTTTGCTAGATGCAAATTTTGTACGTAGTACATTTTTTTTTTGTAAGAAGGGGGCTCCTTAAAGGGGAGAGATAAGGGAAATTCCTCAAATGAGTCCCATAAAACTTAATCCCTAAATCTCAAGGTTACGAGGTGGAAGCGATGCCACTATCCATCACCTCAACCTCACATTTTGTACATATCATGTGATGTTTTACTGATGAATTGATTATACTACTCGTATCAAAAAAAACTTTTGGTCGGGCTAGTTCGGAGTAATTTACTTGGGCTTTAAATAAATTTCTTTCTTTCTTTTTTCTTTTTGATAAAATGGGCCTTAGATAATTAGCAGCATATAGCCCAAATTACTTGATGACTAAACAGTCACTTACATACCTCTGCAAATTTTTAGCTAGACTCGGGACCAGCCATAGCGGAATCAAAATGAACATTTATTAGAAAAAAAAAAAATATGAACATTTACTAGAAAAAAAATTGAACATTTAGTAATTGAACATTTCAATATATAAAAATGAACATTTATAATATAAGAATAAAATAAAGAGACTATGAAATTGAAAAAAAAATAAAATTTATACATCTAATATTATATAACTAGACATTTCAGTTGTAAATAAAAATGAACATATTATGTTGTTGCTTATTCATCAACATTTTTTTAAGCTTCAAATTCTTGACTAAGGAGCAGCCCATTATGAAGAGTTAAAACTTTCAAAAAATGCAAAATTACCACCATAACAATTTTCTTAGAAGTCTCCTAAAAGGTTTCATCAGCCTATTGGTTAACAAAAAAAGAACCACTATGTCATCAACAATCAACTTGGCACTATTAATTACCTTACACTAAAAAATTAATGGATCTATCTGCTCTATAATACATCGTAGCCGTTGATCAATCAACCCTATATATATAAAGATGATGAGATTAGGGGACCATAAATTGTATACATTGTATGCGTATTATACACTTAGAATTAAGAAGGTGGGACCCATAACCCAAAAATGTTAAGCCAAAAAAGATCAAGGTGCACCGTATGATTGGTCCAGTGGTTGAATTGTAAGCCACGATGGACTAGTCTTTATCTCCCAATCATCAATGAAAATAAACACAAAGTCTAAGGCCTAAGATAAAAGAACAACTACACCTTATCTGATCTATCTTGTTCTCGGCTACTTCTAGAGTTAGGTGTATCTAAGGGTATTTTTAATTTTTTTTTTTTTGCTTATTTAATCAGTTTTGCTCAAACTGATAAATGAGCAGAAAAAATCGATTATAAAAACTCATAAATATAGGTGTACTCGAAAACAACTAAGATATGGAGATATCTATGATCTATCTATCAACAATTCAGGACCAACATACAATCTTCTTTTTTTCTGTCCTACTTCACTTGTTAGCTTATCTTTAAAAAGATGAGGTGAATCTTGTAGTTTGGATTTCTAGTGCTTTTTTGGCCCTTCACTTAGATATCTGTGGATAAAACAACACTCACTCACCCCAATTTTTTGGGGCTTTAGACTTACTATTAGTCTATTATACACCTAACCAGCTAACCTAATTATATCATATATTCTCATATCATATAAACCATGCACTAGTATAGTATACATACAAATTAAGGAAATATCTTAGACTAGCTTCTTTGATCTACTTATATATACACCTCATATTTTCTATCTCCATATTATATTGTAGAAAAAACTTGCACTTTTTTGATTTCTTTTTCCCTTCTCTTTTGTTTCCATTTGAATAAAAAATTTCCTTGATTATTCCTCTTCTATTCTTGGGAATTATTTGATCTAATTCTTCTTTGAAGATATTGTGTGTCTTGTCCATTTCTGAAGGTTGGAGTTATAGAAATATGTATAATGACTACCATCGTCATCACTATCACTCCCAACCTTGTTTGCATTGCCACCCACAAAGCTACATTAGGATGGTAAGCCGCCTCACTCGTCTTCCTTTTTAATTTGATCTTCCCTTTGGTCTGTAGAATAGATCAAAACAGTTTTGTTGATTAAGAGTAAGGTTGGTTGAGGTTGATCTTGTAGGTAAAAGACTAAAAACCAAGAGTATATATAGGAAAAAGCGCGCCTTACCCACCATGGCTTAACCTGACCTGGCCGGACAAGGCTATATTCATTAATAAGGGAAATTCTCAATGACAACCTAAATTAATTGTTTATCTTGATGAAATGATTATGTTAGAATCTTGTTAACATTATATGAAGAATATATATATATATACTAATATGATTAATGATTATTATACAATTCTATTGATGTATATATACAGGTTCAACACCTTATAGAAAGGTGTTTGCTTCTTCAAATGGACCGCGACCAATGTATTAAGGCTTTGGCAGAACATGCAAAAATCAAGCCTCTAATTACACTTACAGGTTAGTTCTTCTTTTTTAATCACTATATATACATTAATTATTAGTGTTATTCTTTTCATTTTGAAATTAATAACTTTGCTTAATGAAACATAATTTTTTTTTTAAATAAAAATAAAAATACTACTGATTTCTCTGGTTTATTGTATGCATGGCATGCACGTACAACCATATAAAAAAGTACCAAAGCTACGGGCCGACTATATAAATAATACTGGTATTGTTGTTGGCTCCAATTTTGCAGTGTGGAGGGAACTTTTGAAAGAAAACAGGAATTTTTTTCAAGCATATTTTCATGGTGTTTCTCCAACTCCGCTCATAAGTAAGCACTTCACATTTTCATAGTTATTAATTACTCAATCTGTTCCAAAATGATACTTAGCTTGTTAGGGATTAACCGGATTATCTATTCAAATAACTACATATTGCCCTTAACGTTATACATTCGTATTACATAATTTATTTTAAACAAAGTCACTCTAAATTATTACGAGTATATGAGAAGGGAAAAGGATATTTGTGACATTTTGACTCAATTCTTTAATAGACATACAACCTCCAATCATATTTGTTATATGATGTGGTCTATATATATATATATTTTTTTTTTTTTTTGCAGTCTATATGATGTGGTCTATATTAATTATGAAGGAAGTAGTTCTATCCATGTCTTAACTTGGAAACTTAATTAGCTTTCAACATACACCGTACCGTATATATGTTTAAGGAGGAGTATATCATCTAATAATAATAATGGTGTAATTCCCTTCCTTTTTCTTATTTTATTTTTATTTCAGATAAACATGTTCAACAATCACCAAGAATCACAAGAAGGCGATATTGGAGGTGATCACAGATATATCATAAATTAGGAGCTAGCTAGCTAGATAGTATATAGTTTGATATAGCTCTATCAACCAACATCGATAAAGCTCTACGATCTTAGCTTGTTGATGAATTCATTGTGCCTAAAAAAGATCAATGATATGATGCCATATATACCAGAAATATGTAAAACAAAATTCTATTGCCTTGGCATCTTATTAGACATATATCATATATGGATCGGAGATTATTCACATAAATATAGGTATATAGTACGTGTATGTATGCAATGTTTATATATAGTTTGTTGGTTTGATTTAGAAGTGTTATGTTTCTTTTCAGTTATATGTATTGATCTGATATATGTCCATGCTTCTCATGCATGCATGATTTATCTCTCGATTTTTTGCATATGTACTAGAAAATTCATTTTACAAGGTTGATTCGTTCTGTTTATACATTATTACAGCACAAATTAAACTCTTCATGTGCTTTTTTTTTATTCATTTATCTTAATTTCAAAGACTAAGCCGAGCCAAAAGATAGATACAAAACTGATTCAAAAGTAACTCGATAGTAGAACCATTATTTAAATACACAGATTATTGGGTGCGGACTGCCGCACCCAACAGTTCGTGCGGCAACATTAACCCTAATTGAATGATCATCAAAGCATTACCGGAAAAGTACGCCGGGAATCCATTGCAACGAAGGAGTAATCGTCGATCAAAGATCGAATAAAAAAAAACTCAGATTCAAGATTATCAGACCATGCCTCACGGATCTTAATCGATTGAACAAAGGCCATGAATTGAAGAATCCAGAACTTATCGAATTGGAAGGATTCTTCAATCGGTCGCGATTCGCTGGTGAGGTGCAATTCGGTCGCAGTTGTTGTGGACGGTGGTGAGGTGTGATTCGCCGGTGAGGTGCAGGTCACAGGGGACTAGGGGAGGTGCAATTACAGTCGCGACTGTTGTGGATGGTGGCTGGTTGGGCGAAAGTTGGGCATTTGGGGAGTAGTCGGTGGTTTGTGCAATTATTGGTGTTGGTGAATTGGGGTTTGTTGTTGTATGTGAGTGATGCGGTGGGTTCGGTGGACGGTGGGATCGGTGGGTTGGTGGTTGGCTGCGGTGGTGTGAGTTTGGAGGTGGTTCGGTGGGTTGGTGGTTGGATGCGGTGGTGTGAGTTTGGGGGTGGTGAAGAGTGAGGGAGTGCGTGAGTTTGAATTTGGCTGATACATTTGTGTTGTTGGTTTATTTTGGGTTGTTAGCTTATACATTTTGGGTTCTTGGCTAATACATTATTCATATCAGCCATTCAAATGAACATATAAGCCAATTGATGTCTGATATCAGTCAACATTAGGAACATATCAGACATTAATAAAAAAACGTATCAGCCAACAAAAAGAATATATTAGCCAACAAAAGATAGATATCAGCCAACAAGAAGAATATATCAGCCAATACAATGTACTTATCAGCCAATAGAAGGAACATATCAGTCAACAAATGAAGCATATCAACCAACAAAATGATGAAATCAGCAAACATAAGCAACAGGTAAGCCAACAAGCCAACAAAATGAAACATATAAGCCAACAATTAAAATATACATATCAACCAACAAATAAAGATATCAGTTAACTAAAGAAACATATTAGCCAACTGATGTCTGATAGCAGCCAACAAAAAGAACATATCAAAAATTAAATAAAAACCATATCAGCCAACAAAAGGAATATATAGCCAACACAAAAACCATATCAGCCAACAAATGAAACATATCAGCCAACAAGTGAAATATATATCAGCCAAACCTGCCACACAAAAATTTTCCTGCGGTAGTCCGCACCCAATACCTTCTCATTTAAATAATAGATAAAAATCAATAGCATTAGGAATGTCTTAATTAGTTTGCTAAATGTTAAAATATGACTATCATCAAGGCATAAATGAAGTCGATGAGGAAACTACCTGAAATCCTAGCCTATTTTTGTCCTTTTATCTAATATAATTATCTAATATAATGATCTATGTTGGGACCCTTTGATATATATCTAATCAAATTAAAGATTAGTATGTACCTTAACCTAAATTGAAGAAGCTAATTAATGTGGAGTTTATCGTCTTATTGTGAAAAGAAAACAAAGAAAGGAACCTTCTTTTGAAATTTGATTGGTCAATTATATTACATTTTGATAAAGATAAAATAAACGTGGTTCAAATGCTTCAAACTAATAGATAAAGGGCAGAATTAATTTTGTCCTTATATTTTATATATTTTGCTCAATTTATATAAATAGACCAATAATAAGGTTATTTGTGAAGATGGAAAAAGGGAAGATTACTTTTGGTAGATTTGACAACTGAATATGTTCTTTGGTGTAATGAGGTGTGGTGGGAATATGATGTAAGAGGTGGAGCCATATATTATATTGTGATATAATTTGAGTATATGCACTAGGTTTACTTCATTCCACTTGGCCAACCCTAAATCTTATGATTTTATGTGGATAAAGGTTTTAAAATTATAAAATTGGGAAAATTATGAAGCACATATCGAGTGGATTATAAGATGATAAGAAATGAAATATCTTATATGGAGTAGTTATTCATCATTGCTCTCTTACAAAATCCTTGAAAAAAGAAGCTAAGGAAGGTATAACTAGAAATCATTGAAAAATTAACTTGATCAAGAATTTGTTTGATATCCATTTTTTTCCAGCTTAATTTTGATTTGAGGCTGAAGTTAGGTTTCGAGTCTATTATTAGATATTAATAAGTCGTTTTATTAGATCAAAGTACATGTGATGAGATCTTCAATCAATCACAAAATATATACTCCGTAATTCTTTTATTTCGTACATAATATATGTTTATGATGATATCTAATTCTTTATCTTATATGTTAACGTGAGATTATTGTTGAATCCACTTAACAAAATTGTCCAACCTATTGATCATGATGAACTCTTTAATTATGATCGGATAATCAAGTATCAGTCATCTTTGTTGGATTAAGGTACATATATATATGTTTGTAGTTCTTCAATTCATTGATTGATCATCAGATCATGTCCTTTTCAATCACCCCAATTTGAATCTATCTTTCTTAGGTCTCTAGTACAATAGATGGACTATTATATAGTTGCATACAATAGCTTGAAGGCAGGTCACTTGTCTTTCGCCATGTTAAATTAGACTCTTTGTTAAAGTAGTTCAAGTCTTGATCATGTATGTATAATGTATATCATGTAATAGTTCTAGTGGACAAGAAAATTAACTACTACCTCCGTTACATATTATTTGCAACTTTTGAATATTTTTATATCTCACATGCCCAAAAGTTGCAAATAATATGTAACAGAAATAGTATGATATTAGTAGATTAAATATATACTTGTATATTATTGCTAAAACAAGAACTAGCCATTTCCAAGAGCATGCATTCAACTAAAAAGGTCAAATTCATTGGGACTCTTTATTCCTAAAACTCCGAAATTCAACATTTTCCATCATTTTTTTTTGTTTATTTTTACAATAATAATCCTTTTTTTTTTTTTTTTTTTTTTTTTTTTTTTTTTTTTTTTGACAACTACAATAATAATCTTAGCTAACTAGTTAAGTATTAATTGAAGTTGTAAGTTGGAGATGTCTCGATCAATTTTGAGGTTGTCTCTGCATAAGATCATTGAATGCAATTCAACTAGCTTAGCTTAGCTTTGAGGGCTTTCTTTCACTGAATCTTTTGCCTTCTAAATGGACCTGAAAACCTTTACCAACAGAAATGCCATTTTCATGTGTCAGTTTTCTCATTTTTTACCTTAGAAAATGTACGTACAACTTGATCAAGCTAAGTTTTTCACTTTATTTTAAGAAATACTCTCATCATATATAGTAAGTGCCATAAATAATGAAATGTGATGTTTACAAATCTTTGATTATGACTTGATAGGAATCCAAGAAGGACGTCAATATACATGTAATTCTAAATAAAATAACCCTTAAGACAGGTCACAGAGTACTACAGAGTCCAATAAGAGTATAAACCTGTATGATTTGTGAGGCTGTTTGCCTAACTCGGTTAATTGTTAGTCACCTAACAAGCTAAGGGTACTTATATAAATGTATAATGTAAAGAAACAAACCTAATTTGACGTTTTGGCCTAAATTGAAAACCTGCCAATGATTTTTAGCTTTTTATTGTCATCCTCCACCAAAAAAAAAAAAAACTAAAAATCTGTAAAAAAAAAATTTGGCCTCGTGCATCCATTATTTTGACATAACAACCAATGATGCCTTAATCTAGTGGTTAAGACCGAGAGCCGTGTATCGGTGTATATGTACGATAGCGTCGATACTGAAAGTCTATTATTTGTAATTTGTATGCCCTTGCAATTCTTTCACACAAAAATTTAAATATTTTGACATACAAAGTAAAACATATTGGGGTGATGATCTGATCTATGATCCAAATTGCCGATATTGGGGGTATGGTAGTTATAAATCAGAATTTATTGTCCATAACATTAGACTCATTGAAGTGATGTTCAATTAATTTATTGAAGAATTTATAATAGAGACATTCTCAAAGTTGAAGAATGTATGAAATTATATCTTAGTCCCATAAATTTAACATGGAAATTAGCTTACGTACACTTATAGAAATGCATGCTAATAATGCTACAATTCAATAAAGAGCTACAATGTCCGACATGCATATATATGCCAGAATATTTTCAACGTGAGATTATTCAGAGAAGGAAATTCTGAGTTATTTGATCATAAATTAATTAATTTTAATGATTTTATCATAAAACAGTACAATAATAGTACTACTATTTCATTAATGCATTAATGGTTCGTTCATCAAACACAATAGCACTTAAATAGAACTCGTACATACACACACGGGGCTAAAATACTACCATATGCATAAAACCTCTAGATCGTGTGAACTGAGACGCTCCCATTTTCAGTCTCAAATTAGTTGCTTAGAACTCAACCCTAAAGAAGATTGGTTAATGCGAAAAAGAAGAAACTCGGTGAGCTTAATCTTCGTCGTCTAAGTTTTGTGTCATGCTGTTCTCATGGCTACCATTATCTTCATCAACTTCATGTTGGACCGACGGGAAATGAGCCCACTGCAAAATCATTAACAAAGAAAAAACAAATCAAATAAAGCAAAAAAAATTAATATAGCTAGACATTTAAAATTTTAATTTTACACTTTAAAATATAGCTAGACAAAAAAAAAAAAAAAAAAAAAACAAATCAAATAAAACTATAGCTAGACATTTAAAATTTTAATTTTACTCTTTATCATCAATTTATAGATCAAATAAAAAAGGTGACAAATTTAAGCTTACGTTTTTAGCAGCAGTGCTAAAGGCTTCCTTATGAGTCATATTAGGATTCCTAGCCTTCAACCTCCTGATTTCTTCTCTATTATTCAAAACACACATGTTAATTATTAAGGGTTTATTATTTATTTATATATACTAATGAATTAATTTATTTCTATATATCATATAGTATAAGTAGATGCTTGAATGAAAATTTAAGAATAAATAATAACGTCGAATTTACATACTTGATGAATTTGTTGTAAGCTGATGGTGCCCTTCTTTTCTTTTCTGGAGCTGCCAATTAATTAAAACAACAACAATATTTGTAATCACGTTAGGTCATGATACTACAGCGAAAAAAATTCAATAATATATACATGAACATCAAATTTGAAGTGTATACGTTTATTAACAATTTGCTCAATTGCAATGTTATCTTCATCATCCTCTTCCTCATCGTCATTATCTTCTTCCGAAGAGGGTAACATGGACAAAGTAGTACTGTGCCTGTCCATAGCCTTTGATGTATCTACTTCCTCTTGGTGCTTAAAATTTACCTATGCAAAATTAATTAAATCATGATACGGGTAAACTTTTTCTTTATAAAAAACACATGTATTTCTAAATCAATAATTAAGTTCAATAAGCTAGGTTATATTGTCCGAAAAAAACTTTAGATTACAATTATTCATAATTTTGTGGTGTACAAAAGTACTTGAGGTCTCTTAATAACAAATATATACAAGAATATCGAGTTTACTTAGTATTGTATTTCATTATATTGCTAATAATTAAAAGATGAACATTTTATGATTTCTTTAAGTGAGGACAATTTTCCATTATTATTTGTGATAAAAGGAAACCAAAGTAGATTATATTATAAGAATGATAAATAATAGGGAAAAACATTAAAAATGTGGCTATTTAGATAACTATATGGGAAGAATTAATTTCGTAAACTTAATTAGTATTACCTGATCTTGGTTAAGGGCAGAAAAAAGATGGAGGGGAACAAAGGAAGCTTTCAACATGTTGACTGAGAGAAGACCAGTGCAATGACCACACCTCACTGTCACCACCATTGTCATGCTACTATATGGCACACTCACCTTCCCAGTACAAAACGACAAAAAGGAAATAATAATTAAAGCACAGATATATAGACTAATCCGGACCTAATTAATCAGGATGAGTATGTACGTTGTTACATTAATACTTCAAATTATACTATCAACAAACGTCGTCACCATACATTTGTTCAGGATGTATATATGGAGGAGTACTTAATTAACTACGAATGTATGTATACAAAAATATTGGTACGTAAAAACATTGGAGCCATAAGATTACCAGTAAGATGGTGGTACAAAAACTGCATTGAACGTAACATATTTGTTCTTGAGTATCAAATAAACGGTTAAGTGTTGCCATTATTCTTGATGAAGCTAAGGTCAAGAATTTAGAGAGAGTAAATGGGGTTGGAGGAGGTGAGAGTATGTAATTGTGTAATTGTAGGTTTTAGGGTTCTAAGAGTAGGAGCAAGTATGCACAATATATATAGAAAAAAAAAATCAGACTTCATTTAAGTGAGTCATGTGTTTTAACATACCAGTATCTATGTAGCTAATAATAATGTATATTAATTTATTCCTAGGATATAAATGTATCCAACATTATTATGAATTATATGATGAAAATCTGTGTTTTTAGAATTTAGCTAGGGACGACAGTGAATTGTAAGTAATGATTCTTATATGTATATGGTACGTTAGATTTGGCTATCACCAATTTATCATGTACTTTAATCAATTTTTTGTTTGATTGTCATCTATAGGCAATCCAATTTTCCTTTTGGTTGATCTAATTAATTAATAAGAGGAGCAGATTAATTAATGGTTATACTTTGTATTAGAATCGAACTCTTAACCTTTATTTCATCATTTGGACAACACACATATACTACTAAAAACTATCTTGATCAAATATTTGAGAAGCCTTGTACTCTAGTTTAATTACTAGCATCGCAAAATTGATTGGTATATATATGCATGTGCCTTATTTTATTTGAATTTATCAGCGTGCCTCTCTAAATGTTTAAAATAGACTTGCAGTGATAATGGTTGATCAAAATTCCACATTCAACGAGCAAAAATGTATATTACTAATGAAGAAAATGAAGAATGACTCTAGTCTAATACTCTTTGACATATGTAAAATGCCAAATTGGCATAAAAATTTCATTGAAGCTATAAACCCTTTAAAAAGATGGGATAACGACATTTGTAATGATTTATGACTCATCAAAACATATGATTTTTCTAGCGTCATAGGTAACATTATTAGTCGGCCTTGCAATTCTAACCATCACACCAAAATATTGGAGCACTTCTTCATTATATTCATAGATTTCTTACTCAACCAACACATAAATTTTTGGAAGTCTTGCTTGGATTGAAAAGCAAGTACACTCTCAAAATTGAGAAATGAGAATTTCGACCTCACTTAGAGTTCTGATAAATGCATTGAATTCAAGTCACACACTTACTTCCAAAGTTCCAAACATTGACACACTTGGTAGGCATCACATAAAAAAGAGAGATTTCCAAAATGTTGTTGGTTTGATGGTAGGAAATTAAAGGAAAAAGGGGACCAATGTCTTATTTTGTTAAGTGTTATTTTCTGCCTCCCTATATCTTTGTGTCATTATTTCTAAATTAGGGTTTAGTGAGATGATTTTTTACCTTATTTAGGAGGGGATGAAGTTTCTAGAAATGTGTACAAAAATAGAAAAGAGGTATCTTAGGATTTGTCTTTACATGAAACAAAGAAATGTTATACTTATACCTGCATAATTGACCATAGTCTATGAAATATATGAATGAGTTGAAAACTTGAAAAATGCTGATTTTTTTACCTTCTATATTTACCTTAATTGGTTTATGTCTTGTTCTTTGTGTTTCTTTCTATTATCTGTTTTTGAAATTTACCCCAAATTTAATTCTCAACTACCTACAATTTCTGCTAGGCAAAACCAAGTCTATTGTTGCACGTGTATCTCACGTGAGAAAATTTTTTGGACTTGTATTTTGTGGTCACATCATTTGTTCTTTTCTCATTATTTTGTCACTTTTTTTTTTTTTTTTTGGGTATATAAGATAAAAAAGAAAAAGTTCCTGTCGAGCCAGTTCTCCCTCACTGGTCAACTCGATCCAAGTTGACGGACTAGACAATTTAAGAGAGTGAGAAAAGGTAAGGGAACCTCCTTCCCTCAAATTTTCTCTAACTAGTAGGAATTAAACCTCCAACCTCATGATTCAAAGGTAAGGGAACCTCCTTCCCTCAAATTTTCTCTAACTAGTAGGAATTAAACCTCCAACCTCATGATTCAAAGGTGCTCTCATTTCACTAGACCAATCAATTGCCTCTACTAGCATTGTAGCTTTGCTAGTTTGTATTCTCATGTAGATATTAGTATAATATATATAATGGAGCACTTAAAATATTTGCAATCAAGTTTGTCGCTGACCACAAATGTATCTGACAAGAGAGATGATACCAATCTCTAAGATTGGATAAAATCTCATATGCACAACAACGCAAGGATTATGATACGCTACATACACATAGAATGTGTTTGGCAAAATATAGTTATGGAGGTATAAATACCTATTTGTAATGCACACTGCTGACTGCACTACAAACTTGGTTTGTAGGTGTGAATTCTATATATATAAACAAACAAAAAAACACTACGCATGGTTATATGGTATGTTCCTTTGCTTTCTTTGTCAAGAACAGTTGCGCCACAAACCTAATTAACGAACACAAATTACTCAAATAATGTACCTAAAGAAGTCACAAAGTATATTAAATAATATCCCATAAACATCATATAATGAAAGGTGCATCCAATTTCTATTATCATAACACCCAATTACTAATACTTGTAGTAAAAATCGTACCTTTTAACCTTCAGGATGCAAGTTCAATCCCTATTAGACCTTTGAGGTTTGAAAATCTATATTATCCTCCCCCCACTTTCAACATGTCTAGTTTGCCAATGCGAGATTCCAAGATTCCAGTAAGACGACGATGACAACAACAAAGACGGTCGGCTAACACGAATCTTCATACAAAAACGTCCAATACGACAATTCTTCTCATCTAGAAATAAAGGGGCCTAAAAGACCCAAAAGTTTAGGACAATAGCCCAACATTAGTTACATTACAAACCCAAAACTTATAAACCACTCTCCTCCTACCCAAATCCACAAAAAAGGCGCTAAAAATATCCTATCTTCAATGGCAATCTTAGCTTCACTTCCCAACCACAACCACTTCTCCCCTCTTCCAACCACCGCACAACCACCGCCATCTTTCTCTCCACCAATTCCAATCCCAAAATACCCTCCAAAGCAAAAACCCCAATTCCCTAAAACCCAATCAAAACCCAAAAATCACCCTGCTTTCTCCAAAATCCCCCACAACAAAACCAAATTCTTCAAACCCATTTCATCCCCCACCCCAATAATCCTATCCCCTCCTTCCCCCGAACCCGAACCCGATAATGGTATTGATAGAGCTGTTGTAATTGGGGATTCCGGGGTTTCTTACCATCTCCCCGGAGCTCCATTTGAGTTCAAATTTAGCTATTCAGAAACCCCAAAGGCGAAACCTTTGGCGATTCGAGAACCGGCTTTTTTGCCCTTTGCTCCACCATCAATGCCGCGCCCTTGGACTGGTAAAGCGCCATTGAAAACAAAAGCTGAGAAATTGTTGAAGAAGAATAAGAAGATTCCTTTGTTTGATTCTTTTAATCCTCCTCCTCCTGGTATGAAGGGTGTTAAGAGAGTTGATATGCCTGGTCCTTATAAATTTGGGGAGTTTCCTAAAGAAGTGATGAGTAGGAAGGAGATTATTGGGGAACCCTTGTCTAGGGCTGAGAAAAAAGCTCTTGTTCAACCTCTTCTTAAGGATAATCGTCAGGTTAATCTTGGTAATTCAGAATATTTTATGCCCCATTTTCTTTGATTTTATCTGATTATGGCTTACATTTATGTGGGTTATTGAATCATGCATTTGTATGATATAATGAATTTGTTGTTTTCCTTTTCCTTTTCTACAATGAGAATATTTCTTGATTTACCTGATGATCTGGTAAAGTTTTATGTGGGTTATTGAAAAATTAGCTCTTAGGTGGATGTTACTCTTGAATTTATGATAGCTTTGGAAGTGAAAGAGTTATATTTTTGGGGTACATGGGATTTTATTAGTGATGAGTTAATTGTATGGGTATCTTCGACGGGTAATCGAATTAGAATGATAGTTTAGACCTTTGATTTTAAGTGTATAGTTGGAAGTAAAGAAGAATGTTGCATTCTGTGGTGAATGAGAAGATATGACATATTTGAATTGGGTTTGTAAGGAGATGGGTACGATGCCTGTTGGGTTGCTGTTAGTGGGACTTTTAAATTTTTAAGCTAGACTAGATATTATTGTGTTGTTTTTGATGAAATATTGCTCATCGATGGATAATTGTCTAAACTTTAAAGTATAATCTTGTTTTAGGAAGAGATGGATTGACACACAATATGTTGGAGTTGGTACATACTCATTGGAAGAGACGGCGTGTCTGTAAAGTGAAATGCAAAGGTGTCCCAACTGTTGACATGGATAATGTGTGCAAATGTCTTGAGGTTTGTTCTTTGAAATTCCATGTCCCCACTTCATTCCTGGGTATCTATTGTATTTGAATTGAGTTAACGAATTGTATCCTTTGGTTTTGTATGCTTTTCATGCTATCTCCTGGCAATCATTGAATTTTATCATACTGCTGAAAATTGCGACCTTATCTTCTTTTGAGTTAGGAAACAACTTGTCCTCCTATAAGTATCCTGCTTTAACCGTCATATATACCTTATTTAGGCTTCTACTGAATTGAAATGATACGTGTATGTACATAGTTATTTTTTTGTATCAAACTTCTTTTAAAAGAACAAACAAAAGGGAGGCATAGAGACAATTACAGTATTTACTATATCATATGAAGTGGATAGGCTATGGTCTATAAGCTTGTGATATACCACCAATGTTAGACATTATATAATTGGCTTACAGCGTTCAGGATTGTTGAGTATGTTGACTTTAAGATGATCAGTTTTTGTCTAAAACTATAAGGTTCTAAATCTTCTAATAGTTTATTCGAATGGACATTCTCTGTACTAGATGTTGCGTTTTTGCATATTTACCAAGGTGTCTGAAGCAATCAGTTTGAGATGAGTTTATTTTCTTGATGCTCAGACTGTTCTTAACAATGTTAGGAGAGAACAGGGGGTAAGATTATACATCGCGCCGGTGGTGTAGTTTACCTGTTCCGTGGACGCAATTACAACTATCGCACTCGCCCACAATATCCTTTAATGCTTTGGAAGCCAGCTACCCCAGTTTATCCAAAACTTATTCAAGATACTCCTGGAGGCTTGACAAAAAAGGAGGCTGATGAGTTTAGACGAAAAGGAAAAAGCCTTCTGGCAATATGTAAACTAGGTAATGTTTGATTCTGCATACTTTTGATCTAA